AGCGAGCGTTACTGCCCAGCAATGCTTGGCTTCTGTTTGGTGAAGTGTTTTGGTTCCCCCCTGCCCTCCCCACTCGAAGTGTGGGGCAAGACTTGTGGGGCAGAGGTCTTACTGCAGATCTGCCTGCGTTACACCTCTTGCCCATGGGACTTGTGTACACAACAGCCTGTGAACGTTCAGGCCTTTTTTTTCCTTCCGAAGCCCAAGGAACAGTACTGGCCTCAGAAATACAAGATGAGTTCTTCATTCTGCCTCTCTGGCTGAGGAACAACCATCTCATGTCAGGCTCAGCTGCTCACATCCCCCCAAGTTTGCCACCTATTTGCCCTCGGCGGGATTCTACATGTTGTTCTGGGCTCCTGGGACCACCAGTTGCCAAATGGTTGGCCCATCTGACAATCCCAGAGGAGGCTTTGCAGTGCCCCCAAGGATTCCAGTCCTTTGCCATTGCTTAGACTTAAGATCATTAGTTTGCTTTGCCCGTGTGGGGCTTCTGGTGCTTGGACCATGGTGCTGCTAAATTACGCCCCTCTGGCTCTGCATAACCTTTTAGATTGTCTTCAGATGAATGACATGATGCTGCATGTCACCTAAATAAACTGTGATGCATTGAAAGGAAGGCTGTGCTGCTCCTAGATGCATCGAAATTATACACAGAAACTCTTTGTAGTGGCCTTCAGCATTATGCTCCAGTCATGTACTCTATGGGGACTGTTCTGGAAGAGGGAGATGATCTACAGTTACTTAAACTTTTAGCATAGGGTTTTACTTCCTTGCTTGAACATTTTCAGAGCCATCAGCTTTTTCCCTTGGAAAACTCTTTCATGCAGAGGAAATGTTAAAAAGCCTTGATTCTTGGCTTGGGGTTTTCTAGGAAGTTTCAAGAAATGAGGCATACAGGTTGCCTTGGGAACTTGGCAGCTAATTGCTTAAGTTTTCTGAGAAACCTGTGAGCCTGTTTGCATTAATATGTCTTTACTGTGCTTTTAAATGGGATTGTTGTCTTTCTTCTAGCTCCTTCGAGAATTTATAGAACGTAAAACCACTTCATTGGACCCCAATGACCAGGTAGCAATGGGCAGGTAAGTAGGGAGTTGTCTGTAACATCACTAGCTTCATCCCAGCGCTGCATCCCAGCCCAGAAGTACCAAACTACCTGTGGGCTTCCAGTCCAGTTCATTGTAGAGCACAAAATTTTGAATGACTCTGGAAAAAGCATCAGGGTGTGAGAAATGCATAGCAAGTTGTTAAAACAGTATGGCAGTCAAGAAGGCCATCCTCTGTAACATACTCCTTAGGTATGGGTCACACTGGCTGACTCCGAGTTTGCCAGCCCTTGAGCTGTGCCCTGGTTTGTCTGCCATCCCAGGAAGATCCTTTCCAGTTGTAAAAGGCTTGTTGCAGACTTTGGATATTTCTAACTTTCAGGGAATCCATAGAGGGATGTCTTGACCAACCCTAGTGAGGAGGAACTAAACAAAGTGACTGCCCGCTGCTGAAATTGGGGCCTTTTCTCATTATAAGCTCTGATTTGTCATTGTGTTAGAGGAGCAAACCCTCTGTCCTGAGATCAGTTAAAGCAATTCCTGCCTGTACCCTCTCCCTGCTGTAAGAAAAGATACTATGCAATTAAAACAGTATCAGGGAATGATTCCTGCATGCAGAAGTAAAATATAGTTCCATGCAAGGAAGCTCTTATTTCTCTGTTTAATTCTGAGGTTAGCAAATAAAGAATGTTCCAAATACCACTTAATGAACAGTGTACATTTAAATAGCCGTGGGCTATAATTTAGAAAAGTGTAAAAGCAGAGGAAGGCTGAAAATGCTGGAATAGGGCGCCCTTCTGAAAAAGTGCTGTGGGGGTATGTGTATGAGAAGGGTAAGAAAATGCACTAGGAAATTTTGTGGTGATGAAATAACTTTTATCCTCGTAAAATATTACCCAAATTTTAGTACAACGTGTCAAATTTATTTTGTGTATGTCTGGAATATTATGGAAAGCTATTCACTATAATTTAACATGATATAGACAAAATTACATTTAAGTGGTGATTACATTGTACATTTATCTGACTTTACAATAAAATAGATTACAGTAATTAAGATTATATTAAGATTGCAGTAATTGGATTTTGCTAGATTTTTTTCCCTGATGTCAAGTTTTCATTGTATAAATCAGGTAAGATGACGCTCGTTTTTGTAAAAAAAATATTCATAACTAGTAGAAGTTTTCCCCTGCCGAAAACTTGTTCAACTTGATGAAGTTCTGTTTGAGGAGTTGAGCCCTCCCTTCTAAATAATACAGCCAGGGATCAGACAGCACTTTCTGAAAGTGTTTATTGCTTTGCTTTTGTAGTTTTGTGTAGTAGTAGTTGGAGCATTATATAGGGCTTCTTGCTGGATTTGCCAGGTTTAATAGTCAGAGATGGTGGGGAGAAATACTTGCCTAGAATTTTCAATATGCTTTGCAAAACTGAGGGAAGAAATAAATTCAGAGCAACTATTGCATCATGGTAATTCTGTTCATGAAGTTAGCATAACCTATCTCACTTAAAGAATCAGTTTAGGATGTGGCAGACCATCTTTTCTGTTATGGGCTTTCTATATGCAAAACAGAAGTCATTCTAGTAATCAAGGCTGAAACAAAAAGCAGGACCTGTAAAGATATATTTTACAGATTTCAGCGTTTGTATTTTGTAAATATTTTCTTTTAGCTTTTAAACATTCTTAAAAAAATTCAGTAATTAAGAAAGCATAAAAAATGGAGCCAAGCTTATGGCCTCCGTGGATTTCCCTGCAGGGAGAATGTTCTCACTGAATTGTCTCCTCAGGATCAGGGGGTCTGGTCTGCGTGTCCCATTGTGGCTGGAGTCAGGAGAACTACTTATTGTTTGAATGCCATGTCCGTGGAGTAAAGCAGTACCACGGGTGTTTGAAATTCCATAGTTTCCCTGAGGTTCTGGTCTCCTTCACTTGTGTAAATGCAAGGGGTGGAAGGGCTGGGAAGGGCTCAGACCCCGGGGTCCCTAATGCTCGTTTTCCTAGTGCCTCCAAAAGTTGTGTAACTGTTGTTTTGCGTTCCCCAGGCAATGGCTGGCCATCCAGAAGTTACGAAGCAAAATAAAGAAGAAAGTGGACAGAAAAGCCAGTAAAGGAAGGAGAATCCGGTGGGTGACAACTTCTGCAAGCAAACAGAAGTTCTGATTTTGCCAAGTAAAGTCTGACTGCACTGGGTTGGCTCTGGGGTGCATTGGTAGGCTTATTCATGCCTTTTAGGGCAAGATGTCTTGCTCTGGGGCATCCACTGGGGAATATTAATGTTCTTTGAGCCTGGAATAAGGGCTTGGTTGGATGCAGCCTGTGATCATTGCCCGGATCAGTCTGTGTTCATCAGAGTGTTCATTGGTCTCAGAAAACACTGGAGAGAGCTGCTCAAATGTCCCCAGGTGATTTGGGACTGTAATTTCCAGTGAAAGCCAATAAACACCTCTTGTGCAATATGTATTTAGCTGACTAAAGCGTGGATCGCAGCTCTAGGGGAAGATGTGCAGAAATGCCTCGGTGAGGTAGATGTCTGTTTCCTACTGACTGTCAGTTGGAATTTGGTGTCTAATCTCTCTTTATTTTTCCAAGTCCCATCACAGCTTTCTTCAGCTTCAAAACATTTCACATCCTGACTCCTGGATCACTAATTTGGGTTGATATCTCCCGTTGTGTTTCCAGTGGAAGAATCTTCCACGTGGTAGGGTGGAAAGGGAAGCAGTCTGGAGAGGACAGGGATTTTTTTTTTTTTTTTTTTCTTCCCTTTTGCAGAGCAGATACATTAGTCTCCCTGAGTTTAGCATGACTGCGTGATTTGTGGTGGAGGAGGCGTTTGTGGCAGGGAGGCATGCTGAAAAGCTGCACCGCTTCCTGAAAAATCCGCAACATTAACCATCCTTTTGTGAGTAAACTATAAATCGTGAGTTTAGATGGCATCTGATAGAAAGTCAGTGGAGTCAGTCTGGGTCAGGCCTAGCATAGCAATTTTTAAGATAGATGTCATAAGATAATTTATTAAAAGAGGGAAGAGCTACTTTGTTGGCCTGAAAAGCCTATAATTATTGACTATCAATATTCTTTTCTGTCAGCATCACACATAATTGGATATATTCATGATTCAGTCAAAACTACTGACAACATCACACAACTGAGTCAGACTCGTAAACCTCCAGGAATAATGGGGAAGCCTCTCATTGTGTGCAATCTGTGTGCTTCAGCATTCCGGAGAGATCAGCTATCTCGCCAAGTCAATTGCCTCTTAGATCTTAGGTGCCTTTTTTTTTTTTTTCTTCTTTAAATAAAAGTTGCACTGACCCTGCTGGGAAAATATCAATAAAAGAAAAAAGTGTCATTGTCTGTGTTTAAGATTAACGTGCAGTTGAGGTCCAGCATCTTTTCCGAGTAGTCCAGTAGAGACCAGTAGAGTCCAAGGGAGGAGTGCCTTTAAATGGTTCTTCCACTGAGAGACTCAGTGTCGCCCCAAGCAGATCACTTGTCCTCTGTTCTTTTTCCTTCTCTAAAATTAGGCCAGCAATGCTTAGATTTGTTTTCATGAAGGACTTTGAGATCCTGAAGAGCATAAGTTTCATCTGTCTCCATAATTCTTCGTTTTTAGCAATACTTTAGCAAACTTTTATTACTAGAACATGTTTTGATGGAATGTGTGAGTTTATTGTAGGGTCTGAGGATCTTCAAGTGCCTTCAAAAACAGTTGATGTTGTGCTTGACACAAGGACCTGTCCTCTTCATATGAAGACAGGGAAATTGGGGCATTAAGAGGGGAACTGAGCTCATCTAAAAACTCCATAGTCAAGCTGAAGAAACCTGGTGCCTGGAACTCTGCTCTCCCTCCCTGGGACATTCCTTTTCTTCAGGCAGATACGGAGCAGTCATGTGTACACACCTATTTTTCTTGTCAGTGATTTCTGGTCCTGTGCTGCTGCAACGTGGAGTGTCTTTCTGTGAGTGAGATGAAATATTTTCTATCTGCCGGGCTGGGATTTTTGAGGTCCCGATTTAAAAAAACGTGACGGTTGCCAAGTCCCCTTGCCACTGTCCCTGTGTGAGCCGTGGTCCGTGTGAGCCCAGCCGTTGCTCGTGTCTCACAAGCGAACTGGTTCATGGCTGACCTGTAGTTTGGTGCAGTCCTCGCCCCGCACGGCCAGTCTGTTCCCTGGCTCCATCCTTACAGCTTAGACCAGGGCAGCTGCTTCCATTACACGTGACAAAAGACTGGATTGTGCAGAGAAGCCCTTGTGTAAGGGTGAGTGTGTGCTGGGCCTGAAGAGCCATTCTGAAACAGTCTTGTGAGCTAAAAATCCCCTCCAGGGAATGTTCCTGCATAAGCAAACAAAAGGGAGTGCGGAGGTGACAGAGTGGAAAGGTGATTCTGGGCAAATGCTTGTGAATCCTTTTGCCTGCTATTTGTCAAGCTCTAAAAATAGCAGCAGCTTGGATAAAACGTTTCAGACTTGGGTAGACGGCATGGCAGTGTACACCGAAAGCCATCGGTTTGGAATCCCCAGCCCTTAGACACCAGGGTTTAGAGCCACCTCTTCAGTCAGAGTTTTTCAGTACTCTGTCAAATCTTATATGTCAGGTCCTTGAATATAAGTCATGAAAAGGCGCTGCATGTTCCTGACCCAGCGTGGAATCCCGTATCTGGAGGTGCAGTGCAACTTGTGGAAATACCTTGGTGGATCAGAAGCTGAGACAGATGCAGCACTGCATCACCTTGGCCGTGCCCCATCTCTTCTTTGCGCAGGTCTTTTCCCTGTCTTCTTCTTTGCCTGTTTTCACTTGCACCATTTGTAAGCTAATTCAGGGTAAGACTTTCCAACTACGAGTATAGCCAGCAGAGTGGGATTTTGATATCCTTTAGGGCCCTAGATGCCACTGAGCAAGAAAAAGCGATAGCAGATGGATGCTTGAGAAGGTCTGGTGCTCTGACGCTTCTGCTGCCTGCAGTGGGCTCTTTGGGCACAAATTCCAGAAGGTGATTAAGACACCAGCTGAACGGAAGGCTGAAAACGAGCTCTTGTTTCTCTGTCTCTGACTTCCCAGGGCTGTCTGTCTGGAAGTCTGATTAGGTACTAGCACACAATTAATGGATGCTGCATGTCCTCTTTCTAGCTGTGATAAAAAAGGATTTGCTTGCTATTCAGTTCATTGTATCATCTGATGATTCTTCTGTCCGTGTTATAAGAAAGGAGGAGGAGGGAAGGGAGGGGGAATTGCCATCTACTACTAGTGACTCATTAGATATCAGCCACTGGGAAAGCCAGTCCTTTGCGTTTCAGGGACTGGTATGTTTCTATTCAAGCAGCAACATTTCCTTTTCATTCATAGTTACTGATGTGCTGCCTGCTTATTTCCTGCACTATTCAGGTATCATGTCCATAGCAAGCTGGTGAGCTTCATGGCACCTATTGACCACTGTACAATGAATGATGATGCCAGGTGAGTAATAGATTAATTATGTTTCTCAAATGGCTTCGTGACAGCATGATATTGACCTGTTCTTCAGTCTGTCGCCTCCTCCATTTCTTCTTATCAGTTAACCATTTGTCACTGGCATCATAGCCTGGGTGTCTTGGTCACATCTGTCCAGGCAGTCTGGCTGAGCTTTCACTCTGTAATTACTGTGACACCAAACAAGAAATTTTCATAAATCTCGGTACCTACATTTTGATTCCTGCTTTAAAACTCCTCAGATTTTGAAATCTTCCAGTTTTATGGAATTATTTTGGAAATAGACAACTAAGTTATCTGGTGTCCTCAGGTATGATCGAAACTTACAAAGAACTTGTCTCGTAACAGCAATGCCAACTGTTTTAAATTCTGACCAGTATGCGTATTCTTAGACCAGTTAATAACTGGAATAGTTCACTCGAGATTCACTCAAGACCTAAATGTTGTGTTTATGTCTATTTAAAGAGTGAAGAATTTTATTGGAAGACTATAATGTTTTAATATGCTAATTAGTAAAAAAAAAGCCAAAGAAATTTTGTGCATAGTTACTAGGTAGGTTTTCTACATATGCACTCATATTTCTTAAGTATTAAATTTTTAAACTAAATCTCGAAGTGCTGAGCTTTTTGTGGGAAGGAGGTGGAATAATTTCTCCAGTGAATGGATGTAGAAGGCTTGAGAAACATCTTTCTCCTGGGTTGTGGAACATGTTTGTGCTTTGTGAGAGAGAGACGTCGTTTGTTTGCGAAACGGAAACCAAATACCTGCTGTTCTTAGACTGTTGCCTTTTGAGATATTGCACAGACTCCGAGGTGAGAGCTCTCCAGCAAGCTGGCACTAAGACTTTGTGTCTCCATAATAAGACCTGTGCTGCTTCATCATGCATCTTTCTCATAGTTTCTTTACTTTTTCTTTTTTTCAAGTGAGAAAACTGCTCTGATTCCTGAATATTGTCTAGATCCTCTCGCCACAAAAATAAATGTGTTGGCTGAAAGCTGTGCCTCCAGCCATATGAGTTGGTCACTTCTTCCTGGACCATAGGAAGAGAGGAACAGAAGTGACATCAGATGCACACATTTTTGTCTATTTTGGACATAAATTAAGGGCATTTTTGTGTCTGCTGTGTAGGGCCAGAGTTAGCAGCTTCCAGTTAGCGTGCTTCCCAGCTGGCAAGAACCTCTTACTTGTATGGAATTGGGATCTTTGCTGTTTTGGATAGCCCCAAATAAAATGTGGGGCAGGATAGAGGTGCATTCCTAGTAGAGTCGTACCATCCTGTAGAAATTCTGCTGGGATGTGCTGCGCATTCCCCACATCTTTTTGTCTGAGGGTAATTAGCAGGTGGCATATGTGTCTTTAGAAAAAAACAGCTCATACCATATACGTTAAATCGCACGCATGACTCTAGTATTTCTCTTTCTTAGTATTATGTCCAGTTGACTGGTGACTACTTATGCTTTGAGAATTTCAAATGAGGTTAGGATTTCTGTCATTTTTGCATATACTACTTGTCCTACAGCTTAGGCAGGTGTACAGACCCCTGCTTCGTCCCCAGAACGAAGGCAAGCTCAGCTCGCATGGGATGTGTGTGAGGGGGATGAAGGTGAAAAAAAGTGGTGAGACTGATCCTAATAATCTAGGAGTTACACTATGTTTGCTGTCCCCAGAGGTGACATTGTCTCCTCCTTCGCAGTCCACCACACTCACAGCGCCGTGTTCCAAAAGTTGCATAGAAAATACCTTCTCTAAGCCAGCATCCTCCAGCAAGTCATCGAAACAGCTGGGATGGTGGAGTCGTTCTGCACAACAGCCTTCTTGGGCCTCAGCTACCCTTCATCTGGCTGCCATCCTCGCTCCCCTCGCTTCTCGGGAGGCACCAGGAGGCCAGCGCGGGGTCTGGCCGCCCCTCCGAAGCCGTTGCAGCTCGTAGGGTGCTCTCTGCGCTACGCGGTGTCGGCGCAGTTGTCGTTGCGGTAGGGACAGAGCGTTTGACATTCGGTTTGCTGGAAACGTCTCCTGGGGGTTTTCCCCACGTTGAGCGGGATGTAATCATCGCTCGCCTGTTGTACTGATTCTTTGGTGGCAGCAGCTGCTGCTGCTTATTGTCTGACTGCGGGAACTTATTTCTTACGTGAAGTTCATTAGTCGCTTTGGAGCCCTGATGGTGGTTTGGCCATCTAGAGTGAGACCGTCGCTTGATGTGTTCTCACACCAGCAAGTGTGCCTGAGGGTCGTGTCATGCGGGCAGCTGTATCCCAGTCTGCCAAGATCAGGCTTTCCAGCAAACCTTGGACGTGGCTGGGGCAGTGCTGGGACCAGGCTGGGCAGGTTCTGTTCCTCGTTCTGCTGGTGGCTTTGTGGATGACCTTGAACAGGTCGCTCTGCGTTTGCTGTGACTCTGATGCCCCTTCTGCGCGATGGAGGGCTGCTGCTGAGAAGTGCCTGTGAAAAACAGTGGTTTAGTAATTGTAGTAGTATCATTTTGTTTTTTAACTTTTGTTAAAAAGCTTTTGTTTCAGATGAGAGACAGATACACAAATAGAAGCCTAAGCTTTCCTCATCATTTGCCAAAATGCCTCCTGGTTACCTGTATCACAAAGAATATGTCTCACTTTTTCCTATTGCAGGCAATTCCTGACGCAGCTTCTCTGTAGCTTCCTCCCCACGGGATGTGCTGTGACATTGTTTAGTCCTAATGTTGAGCTTAAATTTCCCTCTGCTGTTATTTCTTGTCCTGTTCAATGTGGGCTTTAAGAACAGATTCTTGTTTCCTCTTGGCAGCAGCGCTTCCACGTTTGGGTGGGCATTCTGGCTTGACACACTGAAAACCTGGGCATTATTTAGCTCAGCTTCCTTCCCTCCCTCCCTCCTTCCACGTTTGGGTGGGCATTCTGGCTTGGCACACTGAAAACCTGGGCGTTATTTAGCTCAGCTTCCTTCCCTCCCTCCCTGTTTTACACCATTTATGTTTACATCCAGGCATAAAACACATTCAAAATACTGGAGTGGCCAGTGTCTGAAAATCAGGCCTCTGTAGGTGTTTTGGTTCAACTCTCCCAAAATGAAGATACCTGCTGCTGTCAGTCATTTTTTTGAAAATCACAGCCACTCCGTAGGGGTCACTTCACATCCCTGTTCAAAGTGCCCCTGCACTTGCCATGGGCCACCATACCTCTGTCACAGCGCACAGCTGTACTGGACAAGGCAAGAAGAATTCAACATCTGCTTTAAACTGCAGCTGAATTAAAAGGAAAGGACGAAGCCTGTACGCATGAGAGGGAAGCAGTAATGATAACAGCTTTCCTTTGTGACAGAAGAAGGTAATTTTATTGTTTGCAAGTGTGAATTACTAGATTGAAAATGCAAGTATACACTTCACAGTGATGTGATCATGCTCTGAGCCGTTTTTTTTTCTGGTCAGGCACTTAAAAGGCATGACCCCAAAATAAATACACATCTGAACAACGGGGCACTCTGTGTTGTAGTGGGAGAAATTTTGAAGTGTCAGTGAGCTGTATGTAAAAATGGGTTGTAGAAACAGAGCTGGCAGAAGGTTCTACTTCAGTTCTACCGGTGGCTACGGTGGTAGGTAGATACCTGGAAAATGCCAGCAAATAAATATGTCTGTGCAGATGTGGCTGGGCCTGAGGGGATGGTGTGGAGTTCGGGGGATGCGAGTGGTGGAGCAGTTCTGGTTCTTCATCTCCCCGTGATGAGCTGCACAAGCCCTGTGCAAACTGGGGCAAAAGCAGAGGGGAGCTGTCTGTGACTGTTGTCTTGCTTTGCTTGCTGTAAGAGCTTTTGAAGGCACAAGTCTGCGTAGCACTGTAATACTTGGCTGTTTTCTGTATATTTAGTTAGCTAATGCAGCCTAGGAATACCTTTGGGGCCTGATTCTCCTGTGTGTTTAAGCCATTTTACACTACTTTGACCGTAAAATAGTGCAAGGAACTGCTGGCATTCACTGGGAGGTCCCTGTGTGCTGTGGGATGCCAGGACTTCTGGGGACCTGGCACGTCACGTTTTTCTTTTGCTCCTGCCACTGGCTGGGGAAACAAAGAGTGACTGTGCGTGAGGAGAAGCAGCCTGAGCCCTGCCTGGAGACGGGGATGAACAGTCACTCCAGAATTGTTCTACAGCCTGAATTTGAGAAAAGGAGCGTACAAGTGTAATAACTGCCTTTGTCAACATCACTGCCACGTTCTTTCTTATTCTTGCTGCTGGTTGGAATAATAGCATCCGTGCAGGCAATTAATCTTTCACTTGCCAGTTTTTCATGCACCCTACGCATGGGCATGGCTGTTTAACCTTGCACGCACGTATATTATGTTGTAATGTGTGGGACACTGGTGGCCTTGAGCCCTCCTCTATTTTAACCCCTCTTTGGTAGTATTTTAAAATGTACACTGGGAAGTGATTTTGATGGTTATCTTGGGGTATATGTTTATAGACTTAAATACATTTATTGAACTCTTGGGCCAAGGTTTTTCTAATCGGTCCAAGGTCATTGCTATGTAAATGGGCCTAAGACAAGGAACCTGAAGGCAAAAGCTTGAACGTGAGCGTGCTGTGGTGGTTGTCCAGAGGAGAGGGTAGCTGTCTTGGGCAGGAATTACCCGAGATTAGAACAGGGTTGATCTCTCTCTGGCTGTGATTTCGCCTGGGTTTGAGGGTGGCATCACGTGGGTGCCACTTCTTGGACTTCCCTTGAAATACGCTTTTCCCGTCTTCATGACCTAGAGTGCTTCACTGATCCCATTGCTCCAGTAGCATAATCTTTAATATAATCATCTTCCAGTACCACCATGTGCAACAGAGTTGGGAAGAAGCCAGTCTCCTCTGGTTTACACTTTGGGAAATGAGGCACGGAGGAATGACAGCCCGTATCTCCAAAGGCATTTGGGTCCAGAAATCCATGAGGCAAGAGCCTCAGAGACTTGACGGAGGTGACACAGCACGTCTGGGCTAGAGCTGTAGTTGAACCCACA